AAAGAGGCAAAATGTTTCTTTCACCCTGATGCCCCTGTTACCTAGTAGTAAATAGGTACCTGGGAGTTAGACAGCTGTCACGGGCTGCTTCCTGGGGGGTGGAGGCCTGGTCGAGGACCGGGCCGCGGGGACACTAAGCCCCGAAATCATCTCAAGATAACCTCAAGAAGGAGTTAGACGTTCTTTTGGTCTGTCGCGTTCCAGAGAACTGTTGTTGACAGTACTGTACATCCTGGTGGCTCTGGTATATTTACCACCTCTCTTTCTAATTGGGTGTATTGTACACATAATGTTTAAACTTTAAAGGATGGATCCGTGTGTGTGTGTGTGTGTGTGTGTGTGTGTGTGTGTGTGTGTGTGTGTGTGTGTGTGTGTGTGTGTGTGTGTGTGTGTACTCACCTAGTTGTACTCACTTGTGCTGGCGGGGGTGGGGTGGGGGAGGAGCTCTGGCTCTTGGGTCCCGCCTCTCAACTGTCAATCAACTGGTGTACAGGTTCCTGAGCCTACTGGGCTCTATCATATTTACACTTGAAACTGTGTATGGAGTCAGCCTCCACCACATCACTGCCTAATGCATTCCACCTGTTAACTACTCTGACACTGAAAAAGTTCATTCTAACGTCCCTGTGGCTCATTTGGGTACTCAGTTTCCACCTGAGTCCCCTTGTTCGAGTAACCCCCCGTGTTAAACAATTTATCTTTATCTATCTTGTTTATTCCTCTTAGTATTTTGATGGTAGTGATCATGTCTCCCCAAGCTCGCCTATCTTCCACCGACGTTAGGTGCGTGTGTGTGTCTTGAAAAATAAGCCATGGGTTGCTAGGATATTTCTGGCATGGTTATAGGCTTACAGCTTCAACAGATAAAAAGTCGTTCATGTTCTGTTGTCCCGAGACCTAAAGAATAAATAATCAAGTTACCCATTACTTCATACTGTCGCAACATCGTTTTCTTTGAATATCTAGCAATCCATTTTCTGTGGCAATCAAGGACGTCTTATATAGGGCTTCGTTGTTCTTCTTTCATAAAGACACAAAAAACAATACCTGAATTTACCTGTGGGACCACTATATCTCTAGTGGCCTCGACCAGGACAGGATGCCGGCAACTTGTCAAAGGTCCAGCTGGCTTTTGAATTTTAGCAATGGCCACGGTTCGTACCCCTAGCTGAGGAGGATTGACTGGGCGCCAATCCTTAACTGTATCAGCCTCTGTTCACCCAGCAGTAAATGGGTGAACAGTCACTGATTCCTGAAATTAATTCATATTCATCAGTGAGGTTCACATGCGAGCAGCCGCGTCCAACAGCCTGGTTGACCACGAGGAGGCCTGGTCAGAGACCGGGCCGCTCGGGGACATTGATCCCCGGAAACAACGTAAGGTAACCAGTTTTTTATTTGTTAATGTGGTTGGTTAAGGTTATGTTTGTGTGAGAGTCTGTCTTGTGAGTCAGCCAGGCGATGAGTCAAGCGGCCGGTGAGTAAGGCAGCAGGTGAGTATGGAGGCAGGTGAATGAGGTAACCTGTGGGTGTATGGAGGCAGGTGAGTAAACTGGTGAGTAAACTGGTGAGTAAGGTGAGTAAACTGGTGAGTAAGGTGAGTAAACTGGTGAGTAAGGTGAGTAAACTAGTGAGTAAGGTGAGTAAACTGGTGAGGTGAGTAAACTGGTGAGTAAGGTGAGTAAACTGGTGAGTAAGGGGAGTAAACTGGTGCGTGAACTGGTGAGTGAACTGGTGAGTAAACTGGTGAGTGAACTGGTGAGTAAGGTGAGTAAACTGGTGAGTAAGGTGAGTAAACTGGTGAGTAAGGTGAGTAAACTGGTGAGTAAGGTGAGTAAACTGGTGAGTAAGGTGAGTAAACTGGTGAGTAAACTGGTGAGTAAGGTGAGTAAACTGGTGAGTAAGGTGAGTGAACTGGCTGGTGAGTCATGGGGAAGATGAACCCTCATGTTGCAAATTGGTGGTAAATTAGGACATAATTGTGAAGAAGTTAAATGTCAGAGTTTAGGTAGTGTTCCTTGTGTGTTTATCCATGCACCAGTATGATTTATGCCTGCTGGGTCGACCTGCTAGCTCCTGGACCCCGCCTTTCTAACCGTCGGGTGTCTCTTGTACTGACTCCCCACCTGGTGTTCAATGATATCTACTACATATATTTTAATTTAACACACACGCACGCGCGGGGACACGAACAAGGGGACACAGGTGGAAACTTAGTACCCAGATGAGCCACAGAGACGTTAGAAAGAATTTTTCAGTGTCAGAGTAGTTAATAAATGGAATGCACTAGGAAGTGATGTGGTGGAGGCTGACTCCATACACAGTTTCAAATGTAGATATGATAGAGCCCAGTAGGCTCAGGAATCTGTACACCAGTTGATTGACAGTTGAGAGGCGGGACCAAAGAGCCAAAGCTCAACCCCCGCAAGCACAATTAGGTGAGTACAATTAGGTGAGTACACACACATACAAGGATACTCCAGGAAAGAGTATGTTAGTGTGAGTAGAGAAGCTGAGAAAAGGTATGAAAATGATATAGCTAATAAAGCCAAGACAGAGCCAAAGCTACTACACAGTCACATCTGGAGGAAAACAACAGTGAAGGAACAGGTGATGAAACTTAGAACGGGTTAAGACAGGTACACAGAGAATGACAAAGAGGTGTGTGAAGAACTCAACAAGAAGTTCCAGGAGGTCTTCAGAATAGAACAAGGAGAGGTCACTACGCTAGGAGAGGTGGCAGTAAACCAGGCAGCTCTGGAAAGGTTCGAAATTACAAGAGATGAGGTCAAGAGGCACCTGTTGGATCTGGACGTGAGAAAGGCTGTTGGCCCGGACGGAATCTCGCTATGGGTAATGAAAGAGTGTGCAGGAGCACTTTGCTTGCCACTCTCCATAGTGTATAGTAGGTCACTGGAAATAGGAGACCTACCAGAAATATGGAAGACGGCGAATGTGGTCCCAATATACAAAAAGGGTGACAGACAAGAGGCACTGAACTACAGGCCAGTGTCCTTAACTTGTATATCATGCAAGGTGATGGAGAAGATCGTGAGAAAAAACCTAGTAACACATCTGGAGAGAAGAGACTTCGTGACAACCCATCAACATGGGTTCAGGGAGGGTAAATTTTGCCTTACAGGCTTAATAGAATTCTACGATCAGGTGACAAAGATTAAGCAAGAAAGAGAAGGATGGGCGGACTGCATTTTTTTTTGGACTGTCGGAAAGCTTTTGACACAGTACCCCATAAAAGGCTGATGTATAAGCTGGAGAAACAGGCAGGAGTAACTGGTAGGGCGCTCCAGTGGATAAGGGAGTACCTAAGCAATAGGAAACAGAGAGTTATAGTGAGGGGGTGAGACCTCAGATTGGTGTGAAGTCACCAGTGGAGTCCCACAGGGCTCTGTACTCGGACCTATCCTGTTTCTGATATTCGTAAATGATCTCCCAGAGGGTATAGACTCATTCCTCTCAATGTTTGCTGACGACGCCAAAATTATGAGAAGGATTAAGACAGAGGAGGACAGCTTGAGGCTTCAAGAAGACATGGACAAGCTGCAAGAATGGTCGAGCAAATAGTTGTTAGAGTTTAACCCAAGCAAATGTAATGTAATGAAGATAGGTGTAGCAAGCAGGAGACCAGATACAAGGTATCACTTGGGAGATGAAATACTTCAAGAGTCAGAGAGAGAGAAAGACCTGGGGGTTGATATCACGCCAGACCTGTCCCCTGAAGCTCATATCAAGAGGATAACATCAGCAGCATATGCCAGGTTGGCTAACATAAGAACGGCTTTCAGAAACTTGTGTAAGGAATCTTTCAGAACATTATATACCACATATATCAGACCAATCCTGGAGTATGCGGCTCCAGCATGGAATCCATATCTAGTCAAGCATAAGACTAAACTTATGTGTGTGTGTGTGTGTGTGTGTGTGTGTGTGTGTGTGTGTGTGTGTGTGTGTGTGTGTACATGCACGCGTGCGTGCGTGCGTGCGTGCGTGTGGAGGGACTTGCAGAGGGAGTGATGGTGTCTCGACATCTTAGCGCCGCTGATGCTGTCTTAGCCTGGGGGTGAAATTTTGAGTGCTGACCCCAAGAGCCTTGACCTTTAATGTGTTCTCCTTACATCTTCTCCCCCCCCCCCCCCACGACACGTCATGCCCAGGCTTACAACCGGCGCATCTTCAACTGTGCAACACAGGTCCACCACGATCTTAGGAGGCGGAGGAGGAATTCATGGAGAGGAGAGAGGTTACACTTGAGTTTTACTTGAAGTTGAACCTCAAGTGATTGTTAAGCGTGTTAACATGATAGGACGCGGGCAAAGTCTTGAGAGTGTTGAGGTCAGACCAGCGGGCAGACATGGAGATGCCATCCCCAGGCCCGAGCCCTCATGGCCATCACAAACATAGACTAAATCTTGTTCTCAAGGTCGGAATGTGTCGTGTTAGGTGTGGGGGGGGGAGGGGGGTGTGGGGTGTGGTGTGGTGTGGTGTGGTGTGGTGTGGTGGGGTGGGGTGAGGGTGTGGTGGGGTGTGGTGTGGTGGGGTGGGGTGAGGGTGTGGTGAGGTGTGGAGGGTGAGGGTGTGGAGGGTGTGGTGTGGTAGGGTGTGGGGCGGGTATGGCGGGGTGTAGCGGGGTGTGGAGGTGTGGATGAGGGAGTACCACACCACCCCACCCACCCCACCCACCCCACCACTCAACCCCATCTTCGATAACTATCACATGTAATCAGAACAAGTGGAAGACCTGAAGAAAATACACGTCAAAAGCGACATAGATCCAAATACACGACATCATAGAATAAAATCGGTGGAAGAGGCAGAGAAGACAACACAGAACGTGAGTAAGATAACAGAGCAATAAACAAGTGGGGGAAATACAGCAGAGATGTAGGGAGTAAGACCAGATAAAACAGTGAAGCAGCAAAACTTTCAGAAACAAGGAACACAATTAAAGCAACAGTGTTAAAGGTTGAACAACTACCCAAGATATGGAGTGTACGAGGCACCAGTGCCACAGGGAGCCACTGGCTGTGGCGGACACGTGCGGCCTACCACAGGCTGAGGAGGACACGTGCGGCCTACCACAGGCTGTGGAGGACACGTGCGGCCTACCACAGGCTGTGGAGGACACGTGCGGCCTACCACAGGCTGTGGAGGACACGTGCGGCCTACCACAGGCTGTGGAGGACACGTGCGGCCTACCACAGGCTGTGGAGGACACGTGCGGCCTACCACAGGCTGTGGAGGACACGTGCGACCTACCACAGGCTGTAGAGGACACGTGCGGCCTACCACAGGCTGAGGAGGACACGTGCGGCCTACCACAGGCTGTGGAGGACACGTGCGACCTACCACAGGCTGTGGAGGACACGTGCGGCCTACCACAGGCTGAGGCGGACACGTGCGACCTACCACAGGCTGTGGAGGACACGTGCGGCCTACCACAGGCTGAGGAGGACACGTGCGGCCTACCACAGGCCGTGGAGGACACGTGCGACCTACCACAGGCTGTGGAGGACACGTGCGGCCTACCACAGGCTGTGGCGGACACGTGCGACCTACCACAGGCTGTGGAGGACACGTGCGGCCTACCACAGGCTGAGGAGGACACGTGCGGCCTACCACAGGCTGAGGAGGACACGTGCGGCCTACCACAGGCTGAGGAGGACACGTGCGGCCTACCACAGGCTGAGGAGGACACGTGCGGCCTACCACAGGCTGAGGAGGACACGTGCGACCTACCACAGGCTGAGGAGGACACGTGCAGCCTACCACAGGCTGAGGACACGTGCGGCCTACCACAGGCTGAGGAGGACACGTGCGGCCTACCACAGGCTGAGGAGGACACGTGCAGCCTACCACAGGCTGAGGAGGACACGTGCGGCCTACCACAGGCTGAGGCGGACACGTGCGGCCTACCACAGGTTGCATTCTACCACATCAGATAATATACATGTTTCAGTTTGCGAATTTGTAAATGGAACTATAGATCTTTGAGGGCTGAAGTACCATGAAGTGTATATTAGACAGAGGATGTCTAAGAAGGATAAGGAGGTAGCAACACATAATAAATAGGAAAGAAAAGGAAAATGAGAAATGCAAGGAGACCAGAAAATGGCATAAACAGTGCACAAGAAAGCTTGGGAGGAGAGAGTACTAGAGAAATAGTACGGCTTCCAAGCTTATTGAAGCAACGGCGTGTACTACAGTGGGGAGCAGTAGGAGGATCACCTTAATGGGCCTCCAATACAAACGGACAAGCAAGAGTGACTTGATCATCATACCCTCCTTCCCCTCTCACACATCAGGGGGAAAGCACCAAGCCATTGCGACTATCCCTTTCCACGACGACCTTTTTCCACTTTGCGATGACCTGATCCCTTTCCAGTGCTATATAGTGTAATTACCTAAGTGTAGTTACACTATATAGCACTGGAAAGGGATCAGGATAAGGATGTGGGATGGGACGGGGGTAAGGAATGGTGCCCAACCACTTAGACGGTCGGGGATTGAACGCCGACCAGCATGAAGCGAGACCGTCGCTCTACCGTCCAGCCCAAGTGGTTGGTCTCACACATTGAAATGCAGTAACATGAAGAACGGTCTCTCCCGAAATAACAGAAGCAGCCCAGCTGTGGAGAGTAGCATGAAAATTATCTTCACAAATGCAGATGGAGTTACAAATAAAGGGATAGAGATAGAGGAAAGAGTGGCCATAGAACAACCACACATTATCGAAATAACAGAAACAAAACTGACAAGTGTTAGAGGAAATACAATCTTCCCAGAAGGTTATCAAGCAATAAGGAAAGATAGGAAGAACATAGTTACCTGTAGCAGGTGGCTACAGGTGACGGATGTCCCAATCCTGAGCACTCCAGGTGCAAACTCTGTGACCAAGAACTGGGGCATGATCTCCCACACTACATCACAAAATGCCCAGTTATCAGACCATTCAGACCCGTTGGCATGAGGTACCTGGAACTTTGCAATGACTTCATTCACTCTCGTGTTCTTGAAGATATCCTCATATGGCACCCAAAATTTGCCACTGCAGGCTACTGAACATATGACCCTGTATGACCAACCATCCTGCGAGATGGAGACTATGTATCACTGCTACCTTATTCACTCTTGTGTTGATGACGTCCTCATAATGTTGGGTAATGACTACACCTCCGTCACTCCCACATACACCGTCACTACACCTCGTCACTACACCTCGTCACTACACCAACCACCGTCACTACACCACCGTCACTACACCTCGTCACTACACCTCGTCACTACACCTCGTCACTACACCATCGTCACTACACCATCGTCACTACACCACCGTCACTACACCACCCTCACACCCATACACTTACTGGTCTTCCTGTGAGCGTAGTGTTGCTTGAAGACATCTCGCCTACTCGAGACACCTCCTGGCAGGAAGTCCCACACAAAGCTATGTTGATGTAACAACATGTTTCTAAACTAGTGAGGAGACCAGTCAAACAATCTACAAATGGTTAATGTTTATTATGAAATAATCTTATCAGTTGACGAGCGTTTCGGGCACAGCCATAGCAGTGGTTTAGCAGGCTCGTGTGTACGTGTGTATGTCATACGTACACACACACACACACACACGCGCGCGCGAGTCTCAGGGGTAGGTGATCTTGCCCTTACATTTGCAAGTTGCCCGACAGTGACGAAGACGTTCCAAGCCCTCCTTACTTCTTGTATTACAGAGCCAGGCGGGGAAGGCCAGCTGGAGCTCCTTGCAGTTGATCCAGAGGTCGCCGTAGGGGCAGGAGTTGGTGCAGAGCCGCTTGCCCTTACAGTGCCCAGGGCACCCAGAGCAGGGTGTGCCCTGGGCATAGGGCCGGGGCAGGCTCTGAAGGTAGTTACCTCTGCAGGGATGGAGGTTTACCCATTAGACTGGCATTGTCACGTCTTAGGAAATAAGTACATAGGATACATTTTACATAGGGAAGTAGGGAAGTACCTACATTGGACAGTACCTACATGGGAAGTACCTACATGGGACAGTACCTACACAAGGAAGTTCACACACACTCAGTAAGGGACCCCCAAAGTGGGGTCCGGTAGAGGGCCCCTAAGAAAGGTCCGCAACAGGAATATAGAAAACGATGTGTCTGCCTATCACAGTCATCAAGCCTTTTGTACATGACCCAGCAAGCCTCTCCTTAACGCGTTTACCTTGTGTTGATTCCTGGGAACAATGGCCCCGCGGCCCGGTCTCTGACCAGGCCTCCTGGTTGGTTGTCTGGTCAACCAGGCTGTTATACATACACCTGCTCACGTCTACGCATGGGGTAGTACACCCACACACACACACACACATACAGGGACCAGTACACACACACACCCACACACAGGGACCAGCACACACACACACACGGACCAGCACACACACACACACACACACACACACACACACACACACACACACACACACACACACACACACACACACACACACACACACACACATACAGGGACCAGCACACACACACACACGGACCAGCACACACACACACACACACACACACACACACACACACACACACACACACACACACACACACACACACATACAGGGACCAGCACACACCCACACACACACACACAGGGACCAGTACACACCCACACCCACACACACAGGGACCAGTACACACACACACAGGGACCAGTACACACACACACAGGGACCAGTACACCCACACACACACCCACCCCTACACCCACACACCAGTACACACACACACACACCAGCACACCCACCCAGGAAAGGAGACAGTACCACTTACATGGGGCAGTAGTTGCAGACATAGTTGTAAAAAGGTTTGGGTGTAGCGAGGGCGCAGAAGGCGAGGCCGCAGCCCACCTGGTGGGAGGAGTGCCACACCATCTGGGTGTAGTGCCCAACCACCTCCAGGTCGTTCTTCCTCCCGCCATACGTGAAGTTGTCCTTCTCCAACCACCAGGTTTTGACGGCGAAGAACCTGAACACACACATACAGGAGCGTCAGTAGCTGTGAGGGGGTGGGTAACTGGGTGGAATAGACGTGGGTGGATAGAGAACTGGGTGGATGGATGGGGGAAGGGAGGGTTAGAGACTATCCCGGCCACCGTTAGGTATCCCTCCTAGTATATTTGTATATAAAAGAGTAAATGTCTGTCTGACTCTGGAGGGGCGTCAGTTTAAGGAGAGAGAGAAGCTAGGGGATATCTTAACATACTAAGAAGGTTAGGTAAGGTCGGTGTTTTCTATGAAGATTTTCAAGGTAAACTAAAATATTCACAATAAATTAGTATGTCACATATGCACGTATTTAATAAGTCAATATTGACTATAAGAAAGTGCGAGAACGGGTTGGATATACATACATATATATAGATATAGTAAATAATAATTTATGAATAAGAAGAAAAACATATAGAGAGAACGGGAGACGAACCATGGAACTTGGTGTGTGGCGACGAAGATGTTCTGGCCGCAGGCGCCGAACTCGTGGACGGTACGACCGGTGGCGTTGTCGTGGACCAACAGTTGACAGGCGTCGGCCCACCGTTGAGCGCCCAACGCTGCTGCCGCCGACCAGCTCTGAGGATACAGCCACGCCACCGTATTAAACAACGCTGACCAGACCCTTCGTCGTCCCTTCACCTTCTAGTGTGTGGTCTGGTCAACATACGTCAGCCACGTTATTGTGACTCATCGCCTGCCTGTTAAACAACCTTTACTCATCACACACAGAGATCACACTAACGTGATGCATCAAATGAACAAATCCACAAGGGCCGTGACGAGGATTCGAACCTGCGTCCGGGAGCATCCCAGACGCTGCCTTAATCTCACTTAATCTCAGTCGATTATGGCAGGGTCTGGGATGCTCCCGGACGCAGGTTCGAATCCTCGTCACGGCCCTTGTGGATTTGTTCATTTAACCTTTACTCACGTATCACCCAACCACATTACTCTGCTTCCTGGAGTGCCGGACCAACCAGGTTGTGGATACCTGGGACCCACATATCCACAACCGCTATTTGGGATATCAATGATATCATATGGAATTACACGTGTTATCCTTGTGTATGGGGGACACCTGTCACTATAATTAGTGTAAGACCTTCTCCCTGTCTCACCATGGTCACCATATTCCTCTGACTCACTCCACACTCACCATCGCCAGCATATTGGAGGCAGGAGGCTTGACCTTTGACCTGAAGAAGTTGTGGAATTGGACGAGTTTTCTTTGAATGCTGTGTTTGGCGGGCTCCAGTGACCTCAGGTGTAGCTTGGTGCCGAAGAGCCGGGGTCCTGTGGAAAAGGGGGGGGGGGGGGGTTAGTAGTGGTGGTGGTGGTGGTTGTTGTGGTGCTGTGGTAGTTGTGGTGATGGTGGTGCTGCGATGGTTGTGGTGGTGATTGTGGTGGTTGTGTGGTGTGCTGGTTGTTGTGGTGTGGTTATGGCGGTGTTGTAGTTGTGGTGGTGGAGTGATGGTTGTGATGGTGGTAGTGTGTTTTGCTCATGGCCGTACCGATAGGTTGTGTGCTGGTACCTGTTGTTGTTGTTGAAGTATCCAGGTGATTGTGGTTAAGATTAAGTGGTAGTTACTGTGAATTGTGGTAGCGTGGTGAGGGTGGCGGCCATGGTAATGTGAGAATGGTTATAGCACTGGTAGTTATGATTGGAATAGTTACAGTGCATAGTGTATAATAATACTAATAATAAATATAATATTACAATAGAATTGTTGACTATAATACTTGTATGTGACTTCTGAAGGTCCCTACATGGTCTCAGCCAGGCTCACTGTAGGAGGGAACCCTTACGATCTCTCTCACACTCTCCCTGGCTCTCTCACACACTCTCCCTGGCTCTCTCACACTCTCACACACTCTCCCTGGCTCTCACACACTCTCCCTTGCTCTCTCACACTCTCACACACTCTCCCTGGCTCCCTCACACTCTCCCTGGCTCTCTCACACTCTCCCTGGCTCTCACACACTCTCCCTGGCTCTCTCACACTCTCCCTGGCTCTCTCACACTCTCCCTGGCTCTCACACACTCTCCCTTGCTCTCACACACTCTCCCTGGCTCTCTCACACTCTCCCTGGCTCTCACACACTCCCTGGCTCTCACACACTCTCCCTGGCTCTCTCACACTCTCCCTGGCTCTCTCACACTCTCCCTGGCTCTCACACACTCTCCCTGGCTCTCTCACACTCTCCCTGGCTCTCACACACTCCCTGGCTCTCTCACACTCTCCCTGGCTCTCACAAACTCTCCCTGGCTCTCACACACTCTCCCTGGCTCTCTCACACTCTCACACACTCTCCCTGGCTCTCACACACTCTCGCTGGCTCTCACACACTCTCCCTGGCTCTCTCACACTCTCCCTGGCTCTCTCACACTCTCCCTGGCTCTCTCACACTCTCCCTGGCTCTCACACACTCTCCCTGGCTCTCACACACTCTCCCTGGCTATCACACACTCTCCCTGGCTCTCTCACACTCTCCCTGGCTCTCACACTCTCCCTGGCTCTCACACACTCTCCCTGGCTCTCACACACTCTCTCTGGCTCTCTCACACTCTCCCTGGCTCTCTCACACACTCCCTGGCTCTCACACACTCTCCCTGGCTCTCTCACACTCTCCCTGGCTCTCACACACTCTCCCTGGCTCGCTCAAACACTCTCACACACACTCCCTGGCTCTCACACACTCTCCCTGGCTCTCACACACTCTCCCTGGCTCTCTCACACTCTCCCTGGCTCTCTCACACTCTCCCCGGCTCTCACACACTCTCCCTGGCTCTCTCACACTCTCCCCGGCTCTCTCACACTCTCCCTGGCTCTCTCACACTCTCCCTGGCTCTCTCACACACTCTCACACACTCTCCCTGGCTCTCACACACTCTCCCTGGCTCTCACACTCTCTCCCTGGCTCTCTCACACTCTCCCTGGCTCTCTCACACTCTCCCTGGCTCTCTCACACACTCTCACACACTCTCCCTGACTCTCACACACTCTCCCTGGCTCTCTCACACTCTCCCTGGCTCTCTCACACACTCCCTGGCTCTCACACACTCTCCCTGGCTCTCTCACACTCTCCCTGGCTCTCTCACACACTCCCTGGCTCTCTCACACTCTCCCTGGCTCTCACACACTCTCCCTGGCTCTCTCACACTCTCCCTGGCTCTCTCACACTCTCTCTGGCTCTCTCACACTCTCACACACTCTCCATGGCTCTCTCACACTCTCCCTGGCTCTCTCACACTCTCTCTGGCTCTCTCACACTCTCACACACTCTCCATGGCTCTCTCACACTCTCCCTGGCTCTCTCACACTCTCCCTGACCATGTTGGGACATGACTGGGGACCATGTAGGGACATGACTGGGGACCATGTAGGGACGTGACTGGGAACCATGTAGGGACATGACTGGGGACCATGTAGGGACATGACTGGGGACCATGTAGGGACATGACTGGGGACCATGTAGGGACATGACTGGGGACCATGTAGGGACATGACTGGGGACCATGTAGGGACATGACTGGGGACCATGTAGGGACATGACTGGGGACCATGTAGGGACATGACTGGGGACCATGTAGGGACATGACTGGGGACCATGTAGGGACATGACTGGGGACCATGTAGGGACATGACTGGGGACCATTTAGGGACATGACTGGGGACCATGTAGGGACATGACTGGGGACCATGTAGGGACATGACTGGGGACCATGTTGGGACATGAATGGGGACCATGTAGGGACATGACTGGGGACCATGTAGGGACATGACTGTGGACCATGTAGGGACATGACTGGGGACCATGTAGGGACGTGACTGGGGACCATGTAGGGACGTGACTGGGGTCCATGTAGGGACGTGACTGGGGACCATGTAGGGACGTGACTGGGGACCATGTAGGGACATGGCCAGAGACCATGTAGGGACGTGACTGGGGACCATGTAGGGACATGGCCAGGGACCATGTAGGGACATGACTGGGGACCATGTAGGGACGTGACTGGGGACCATGTAGGGACATGACTGGGGACCATGTAGGGACATGACTAGGGACCATGTAGGGACATGACTGGGGACCATTTAGGGACATGACTGGGGACCATGTAGGGACATGACTGGGGACCATGTAGGGACATGACTGGGGACCATGTAGGGACGTGACTGGGGACCATGTAGGGACGTGACTGGGGTCCATGTAGGGACGTGACTGGGGACCATGTAGGGACGTGACTGGGGACCATGTAGGGACATGGCCAGGGACCATGTAGGGACGTGACTGGGGACCATGTAGGGACATGACTGGGGACCATGTAGGGACGTGACTGGGGACCATGTAGGGACATGACTGGGGACCATGTAGGGACATGACTGGGGACCATGTAGGGACATGACTGGGGACCATGTAGGGACATGACTGGGGACCATGTAGGGATATGACTGGGGACCATGTAGGGACGTGACTGGGGACCATGTAGGGACATGACTGGGGACCATGTAGGGACATGACTAGGGACCATGTAGGGACATGACTGGGGACCATTTAGGGACATGACTGGGGACCATGTAGGGACATGGCCAGGGACCATGTAGGGGCCATGTAGGGACATGACTGGGGACCATGTAGGGACGTGACTGGGGACCATGTAGGGACGTGACTGGGGTCCATGTAGGGACGTGACTGGGGACCATGTAGGGACATGGCCAGGGACCATGTAGGGACGTGACTGGGGACCATGTAGGGACGTGACTGGGGACCATGTAGGGACATGACTGGGGACCATGTAGGGACATGACTGGGGACCATGTAGGGACATGACTGGGGACCATGTAGGGACATGGCCAGGGACCATGTTGGGACGTGACTGGGGACCATGTAGGGACGTGACTGGGGACCATGTAGGGACATGACTGGGGACCATGTAGGGACATGGCCAGGGACCATGTTGGGACGTGACTGGGGACCATGTAGGGACGTGACTGGGGACCATGTAGGGACATGACTGGGGACCATGTAGGGACGTGACTGGGGACCATGTAGGGACATGACTGGGGACCATGTAGGGACGTGACTGGGGACCATGTAGGGACGTGACTGGGGTCCATGTAGGGACGTGACTGGGGACCATGTAGGGACATGGCCAGGGACCATGTTGGGACGTGACTGGGGACCATGTAGGGACGTGACTGGGGACCATGTAGGGACATGACTGGGGACCATGTAGGGACGTGACTGGGGACCATGTAGGGACGTGACTGGGGACCATGTAGGGACGTGACTGGGGACCATGTAGGGACGTGACTGGGGATCATGTAGGGACGTGACTGGGGATCATGTAGGGACGTGACTGGGGACCATGTAGCGACATGACCAGGGACCATGTAGGGACGTGACTGGGGACCATGTAGGGACATGACTGGGGATCATGTAGGGACGTGACTGGGGACCATGTAGGGACGTGACTGGGGACCATGTAGGGACGTGACTGGGGACCATGTAGGGACGTGACTGGGGACCATGTAGGGACGTGACTGGGGACCATGTAGGGACGTGACTGGGGACCATGTAGGGACATGGCCAGGGACCATGTAGGGACGTGACTGGGGACCATGTAGGGACGTGACTGGGGACCATGTAGGGACGTGACTGGGGACCATGTAGGGACATGACTGGGGATCATGTAGGGACGTGACTGGGGACCATGTAGGGACGTGACTGGGGACCATGTAGGGACGTGACTGGGGACCATGTAGGGACATGACTGGGGACCATGTAGGGACATGACTGGGGACCATGTAGGGACATGACTGGGGACCATGTAGGGACATGACTGGGGACCATGTAGGGACATGACTGGGGACCATGTAGGGACATGACTGGGGACCATGTAGGGACGTGACTGGGGACCATGTAGGGACATGGCCAGGGACCATGTAGGGACATGGCCAGGGACCATGTAGGGACGGGACTGGGGACCATGTAGGGACATGGCCAGGGACCATGTAGGGACGGGACTGGGGACCATGTAGGGACGTGACACATGGGATACACACGTCGGTCGGTGCGCCAGGTGCGGGAGACGCGGTGTGTCGCGACAAGAACCACCACAGTTAGCTGGAGCAGCCACTCCCACCTCATCCTCTCTGTCTTCCTGCCTGCCCGTCCTCCTGGAAGCTGTCTTCCTGCCTCCACGTCCTCCTGGAAGCTGTCTTCCTGCCTGCCCGTCCTCCTGGAAGCTGTCTTCCTGCCTGCACGTCCTCCTGGAAGCTGTCTTCCTGCCTGCCCGTCCTCCTGGAAGCTATCCTCCTGCCTGCACGTCCTCCCGGAAGCTGTCTTCCTGCCTCCACGTCCTCCTGGAAGCTGTCTTCCTGCCTGCCCGTCCTCCTGGAAGCTGTCTTCCTGCCTGCCCGTCCTCCTGGAAGCTGTCTTCCTGCCTCCACGTCCTCCTGGAAGCTGTCTTCCTGCCTGCCCGTCCTCCTGGAAGCTGTCTTCCTGCCTCCACGTCCTCCTGGAAGCTGTCTTCCTGCCTGCCCGTCCTCCTGGAAGCTGTCTTCCTGCCTCCACGTCCTCCTGGAAGCTGTCTTCCTGCCTGCACGTCCTCCCGGAAGCTGTCTTCCTGCCTCCACGTCCTCCTGGAAGCTGTCTTCCTGCCTCCACGTCCTCCTGGAAGCTGTCCTCCTGCCTGCACGTCCTCCTGGAAGCTGTCTTCCTGCCTCCACGTCTTCCTGGAAGCTACCTTCTAGTATACACGTCCTCCTGGAAGCTGTCTTCCTGCCTCCACGTCTTCCTGGAAGCTACCTTCTAGTATACACGTCTTCCTGGAAGCTGTCTTCCTGCCTCCACCTACTCCTGGAAGCTGTCTTCCTGCCTCCACCTACTCCTGGAAGCTGTCTTCCTGCCTCCACCTACTCCTGGAAGCTGTCTTCCTGCCTCCACGTCTTCCTGGAACCTACCTTCTAGTATACACGTCTTCCTGGAAGCAAGGAGCCAAGGAGGCGATAGTTCCAGTTTTTGATCTGCTCCAACTTGCTTTTCCTAGGAACTAGAAATCCTAGCAAGTGTCAGAATACTGGAATGTCTTAGATCTGGAGACTCCAAGCAGCTGAAAGTCCTAGATACTGAAATCCTGGACGATTTTCGAACGCTTAGACACTGAAATCCTGGACGATTTTTCGAACGCTTAGACACTGAAATCCTGGACGATTTTCGAACCCTTAGACACTGAAATCCTGGACGATTTTCGAACGCTTAGTCACTGAAATCCTGAACGATTTTTCGAACCCTTAGACACTGAATTCCTGGACGATTTTCGAACTATTAGTCACTGAAATCCTGGACGATTTTCGAACCCTTAGACACTGAAATCCTTTACGATTTTTCGAACCCTTAGACACTGAAATCCTGGACGATTTTTCGAACCATTAAACACTGAACTCCTGGACGATTTTTCGAACCCTTAGACACTGAAATCCTGGACGATTTTCGAACGCCTGGAACGTCTATAAAGCGTCATTTCGTCGCTCGTCCCACTACTTGTCTAAAACTTTATCTTTATGTCTTTATTCCTTTATTATAGTTCACTTGCATCTTCGGCTTTAGCGAGCGGCTCCTTTACCAGCCATGGCGCGTGTCGCTGCTTCACTTATATACTTAAAGCTTTAGTTCACTTTTATACTTAAAGCTTTATTTCACTTATATAATTAAAGCTTTAGTTCACTTATATAATTAAAGCTTTATTTCACTTATATAATTAAAGCTTTAGTTCACTTATATAATTAAAGCTTTATTTCACTTATATAATTAAAGCTTTAGTTCACTTATATTTGTAAAGCCTTAGACCACTTATGCATTCGAAGATTTGGTTCACTTATGTACTTAAAGCTTTAGTTTACTTATATACTTAAAACTTTAGTTCGCTTATATACTTAAAGCTTTAGTTCACTTTTATAATTAAAGCTTTAGTTCACTTATATTTGTAAAGCCTTAGACCACTTATGTATTCGAAGATTTAGTTCACTTATATACTTAAAGCTTCATTCCACTTTTATACTGAAAGCTTAAGTTCACTTATATCATTAAAGCTTCAGTTCACTTACATAAAGCTTCAGTTCACTTATATACTTAAAGCTTCCTTAAGTTCACTTATATACTTAAAGCTTCCTTAAGTTCACTTACATACCTAAAGCTTCCTTAAGTTCACTTATATGCTTAAAGCTTCCTTAAGTTCACTTATATGCTTAAAGCTTCAGTTCACTTATATACTTAAAACTTCTTTCAGTTCACTTATATAATTAAAGCTTTAGTTCACTTTTATACTTAAAGCTTAAGTTCATTTATGTAATTAAAGCTTCAGTTCACTTATATACTTAAAGCTTCAGTTCACTTATATACTTAAAGTTTCAGTTCACTTATATACTTAAAGCTTCAGTTCACTTATATACTTAAAACTTCCTTAAGTTCACTTATATACTTAAAGCTTCATTAACTTCACTTATATACTTAAGATTTCCTTAAGTTCACTTATATTCCTAAAGCTTATGTTCACTTATATACTTAAAGCTTCAGTTCACTTATATACCTAAAGCTTCAGTTCACTTATATACTTAAAGTTTCAGTTCACTTATATACCTAAAGCTTCAGTTCACTTATATACTTAAAGCTTCAGTTCACTTATATACTTAAAGTTTCAGTTCACTTATATACTTAAAGCTTCAGTTCACTTATATACTTAAAGCTTCAGTTCACTTATATAATCCACAGGACTTGGCAACATAATATAAGAGTGGTGTTGGTGTAGCAGGTGTTGACCCGTGCCACAGGTGCCTGGCACTTCATGGTCACCAGTGCCACACTTTACTAGCACCTGAAGTGTTATCTTGAGGGGCAACACTTATGTGTTCTAAGTGTCGCACTTATACTAGCGAGATGTCGTCTTACTGGTCTTCAAGACGCAAGTCTTAGTGATATTGTTCAATTGTTAATTTGGTCAATATTTGAATATATTAACTTGTAGGTGCTACAGATTAACATTATTCTTGGGTAAGGATAATTTTTGATTTAGTGGGTTTTTAGATCTTGGAGGTGATGTGTGTGTGTGTGTGTGTGTGTGTGTGTGTGTGTGTGTGTGTGTGTGTGTGTGTGTGTGTGTGTGTGTGTGTGTGTGTGTGTGTGTGTGTGGGTGTGTGTGTGTGTATGTGTGTGTGTGTGTGTGTGGGTGTGTGTGGGTGTGGGTGTGAGTGTGTGTGGGTGTGGGGGTGGGGGGGGATCTCCCCACTTGGTTCACAGGTATAGTCTATGCCAGTGCCCAATCAGTTTCAACATCTATGGACTGCAAGACATATTAGGGGTTTCAACACTGGATTCCAGGATGGGTCATCTTTCCCAAATCTGAAAGAAATTTTGCTTTCCTTTTCAATTTTCAGAAGAGAGTTTTCTTTTGGAGGGAAGGAGTGTAGATGTGAAGACAGTTTTTATCGCTCACTACAAATATTATTAGTCTCACCAACCGGTCAGACACCGGTTGTCAACTTCCACCAGTGTCACCAGACGAAGCTACAGATAATGAACTAGTTCCCGGTCAACTTGCTTACTAACTTCTCGGTCAATTTCACCACAAAATCAAATGATTTTAACACCTTATTTGCGCGATATTTCTATCTGAGCTTCTCTGACCTTCCGCAGTAACCGCTATACGCAGAGATAAACGTTTCAGTTCACTGGGTAGCACTATCTTTGCGTGGACCGGGAGATATCCAGATATCGTCCAGGTATTTGGACGGCCTGGTTATCGAGGGGTGTTACCGGAAGATGTAAGGAGTTGGGGAAGGTGTGTGTGGCCGGCCTCAAGCGACTCTCTTTTGCCTGAGTGCACAATTTCCAGGAAGAATTCTCATGTTGACACGTTAACCCTTGACGGTATTGACGGGGGCTACAGGGTGATGGTGACTTGTTGGGCAGATGGTGAGGGGCTGCAGGGTGATGGTGACCTGCTGGGCAGATAGTGAGGGGCTTCCTCGTGATGGTGACCTGCTGGGCAGATGGTGAGATGAATGTCAAGACGGTGGAGAAAAAAAAATGTCTTCTAAGTGGAGCACAAACACACGACGGGCCGCCAGACGATGGAGTGATTATAACTCTACGGCGTTGGAAGACTGTTGAGCGGACGCCAGGCGCAAGGACAGACGCCAGGCACAAGGGCGGACGCCAGGCACAAGGGCGGACGCCAGGCGCAAGGACAGACGCCAGGCACAAGGGCGGACGCCAGGCACAAGGGCGGACGCCAGGCGCAAGGACAGACGCCAGGCACAAGGGCGGACGCCAGGCACAAGGGCGAACGCCAGGCACAAGGGCGGACGCCAGGCAGTGGAGAGAGTGGTCAGGAGGAGACGCGGAGTGACAGGTAGAGGGACGGGACACTCGGGGCGGACGCCACCGCTCATACAACACCTGCAACAGTATAGATCAAGTTTTAATTAGTATTTCCTTCACCACTGACAGTCATGGAGCCAGGTGGCCCGCAGAGACAGCTGGGGGGGGGGTCTGAAGACAGAGAGACAGGGGGGGGGAGACAGAGGGAGGGGGGGACACAAGCTGGAGCAGGTGGCGGGGGGACAGGAAGCCAGCAGACACTCACACAGTTATATAATGACAATATGGTCCACTACACAAGCTAGTATGACACAACTTAGTCCTCAGTATTACGGGCGAGCAAGTCGAGGGTTTGGTGGCGTTTGTAGGCGGTGAGGGCGGCCTGGGGCGTGGGCGGCCTGGGCGGCCTGGGGTGTCGGTGGTGAGGGCGGCTTGGGGCGTGGACGGCCTGGGGTGTGGGCGGCCTGGGCGGCCTGGGGTGTCGGTGGTGAGGGCGGCTTGGGGCGTGGACGGCCTGGGGTGTGGGCGGCCTGGGCGGCCTGGGGTGTCGGTGGTGAGGGCGGCTTGG